ACTCTCCAAAAACAGATTCACAGATTCGAATCAAACAGCTTTTCTGTCAGCTTGAAAGAGCATAAATGAAAATGCAGGGTGAACCAGTCATACAAGGAAGAGCGGAGGAAGAAAAGGGACAGGAGTAAAGGAAAAAGAGACAGGAGTAAAATAAAGACAATTATTTACAGATAAGTGCTGAATCCACATGGCTTGCTGAGCATCACAACTGGAGTATGGTGATGCTTTGGAAGAAAAAGGATGAAATTTGAAGTTTGTAATTACAGTAAAGTTTGCAGTTACTGATTTTGTAATTGTTATTAAGCATGAGAATTCACTTTCGAATAGTGGAAACTAAGTGTATTTCTCAAGTACATCCAGTTAATGTGTGAGCAGATTCAAACTTAGAGCAGAATAGATTTACTGGGAAAATAATAATCTACAATAAACTATTTGGAAAAGAAGAGGGGCAGGGAACCAAAGTCAAGAAGCTGAATTCCCAGCAGGTGAGATGGCCTTGAGCATGCTGGTGTTCCTAAGGAGGTGCTGTGAACACCACTTCACTAAATAGAAAACTGCTCGAAACTGCTCAAAAGTTAAGGCACCTACATCCTCATAAAAAAAAAAAGGCCCTTTAATACCAAAATAAATGCTCTAGTCTGTCATTTATGGCAGGATGAAGGAATGCAGATGGAGAAAATTATTTAGATAAAAGTAAAGCTGAATCTTTTTCTTTTAGTCTTCTGAATTGGACACAATAGAAAACAATATTGAAAGAAAAGGAGGATGTAGCCAGTAGTAGATACAGTCAAGAAGCACATTCCCAATCCTGCAGCACACTTAACTCTTAAATTAGATGTAAGAATTTCATTGAAAGTTGAATTWAGCAAAACTAGGTCCTAATATTCATAATAAAGAATCTCAGCTGAATATAACTATGAATTGACCGAAGTTGAACCCTTCTAATTTGAACTCCTCCGAGATTTTTATTGTGAAAAGATTTTACTGTTTCCATTCCAGTACACCAAGATAACAGAGTCATTTTTTCTCGGTTGTTTTCTAGGGGAAACTCGACAAGGCTGTTCCTCTGTATGAGCTAGCTGTCGAAATTCGACAGAAATCATTTGGCCCCAAACACCCTAGCGTAGCTACTGCTTTGGTGAACCTTGCTGTTCTCTACTGTCAGATGGTGAGTTCTCATGCTGTACATGCTTATTATTCCTTGCTGAAGCTTTTATTTTTTTAGTGGCTGCACCTAAGGGATATGGAAGGAGCGTAATTGCATTTGAAAGAGATCTCTGTGTAGGACTTGCCAGTTCTTAGGTTCTGTGTTAAAAAGCTGGCAAGGGAAATGGATGTAGGCACCCAGTACCTGCTGTGACTGGTGCTATACATGGCCGCTTGGGCTAATGCTCTTTAAATTATTACTGGAATAGAGTAATTGCCCCTGAAGAGCAGTAGCCCCAGCATGATGGAGCACAGCAACCCCCCGGGCTCACTGGGAGATATTACCCATTGAAACCCATGGCTCTGGGTGACACCAGTGCCCACCCTGATCAAGCGTGGCTCTCTGTAACTAACAACCTGATCTGGCTCCACCACTTGACTTGTAGCCCATATTAGCATGAGATTCCCAGAAAAGCGGTCAGCCTGTGGCCAAACCTGACAGTTTTAGAAGTAAGCTGTAGATTACTTATTTTTCACACTTCTGTAGCGTGCCTAGCTAATTGTGAACAGGGATTATAGCTGGTTCAGGAAAAGTGCTTAAAGACCATTGATAACTCAAAATATTCAGGTATGCAGGCTGAAATTTTCAAAACTGCCAGAAATTTTCAAAACTGTCTAGACCCTAATAAAAGACCCAACTTTGTTTGCAAGTGAAAGTCAACTGCTCTGGCAGTCACAGTCATCTTCATCTGACAATAGTAGTTTAAAACAAAACAGAACAGAAATCCTCAAAAGAGCTTTTCTGCTTGAGTATGGATGAATTTCTACGTGCGATGTACTGCAGGGATGTAAGAAAAGAACAACTGTAAAACAGCTCTCTAACAAACGACTCTTCTGCTACCCAAAGAAAAAGCGGATGGAAGCTTTACCTCTTTATGAACGTGCGTTAAAGATTTATGAAGACAGTTTTGGCCATATGCATCCTCGTGTGGGAGAAACTCTGAAGAACTTGGCTGTGCTCAGGTAAGATTTTTAGTTCTGGGCATAAAAAGGGGCAATTACTATTAAAAAAGAAAAAAAAAGTAGATAAAATGTGCTAGAATTGCACATTTGTTAAGTAAGCAGACAGCTTTGAATTTGTATTTAGCAGGGTGTGCATTTGAGACATGGAGTTCATGGAGAATTTTCTTTTGTTTCAATTTTATTTTACTCTTCTCCCAAAGCTACGAAGGGGGTGATTTTGAGAAGGCAGCTGAACTTTACAAAAGGGCCATGGAAATAAAAGAAGCAGAGACTGTGCTGATAGGTGGAAAAGCAACTTCCCGGCACTCATCAAGTGGAGATACGTTCAGTCTGAAAAGTGCTTTGTCACCAAATGTTTTCCCAGAACATGGACAAAGGTGATATAAAGCTGTTCAAAGGTAAAGGCAGTAATTTGCAGCAAAGTTAGACTTAAAAATACTTAAAAACTCTATGCTTCCTGGAATGAAATAGTATTTTGGTACCTAAACATTCCAGAATGAAAAGAGGAACATGTTTAACATGGAAATCCTTTCATGTTAGCTTTATGGACTGTATGGTACAAGCTTAAATTTTTCAATTGTATATAGACATGCATGTGAACACCTTGCTCAAGTTAAACTTGATGTCAAAAATACGGTACTTTGATACCTSTTAGGTCAAGAGCTGGGACTATAATGACAAAGACAGGTTAAACTAATTGTATATACTCCACATGACACTTATTTCTACATTGCAATAGCCTGGCTTAGGGCAGTTATATWTTTTTTTTTGTTTTGTCTTTCTGCCTCTTCAGAGGATTTTAAAGTTATTTCTGTATAGATGGTAGTTTTTAGAAAGCCAAATACACCTCCACCTAAATTTTTATTTGCAGCTTGATTTCAGCTTTGAACAAGCTTATATTCCAGGGATTTGTGCAAAAATAACAGTTTCTCTGGGGAAAATTAATCTAACTGCAAAATAATCTACAGTTAAAGATATCCAAAGGGTGCCAGATTCAGCTATGTTTAATAGAAGTATTTCTAGTGAGCACTTAGAAGGGAGCTCACGACAATATTTCAGATGTATCTGGTGTCTATTTGATMCAGGATGGAACTGCAAACGGCCCTTACCTCAAAGGGGTACTTGTCTTCCACAGTCAGTTGTGTTTTTATAAGGGAGTTTATTTAAACTTAGAAATGATGTAATGTTTTGGTAACTTGGCAAATTACCAGTTTCATAGTGTTCTGAAACATACAAACCTCAACTTCATCTTTAAAATTAAATATTAAATATATAATAAAAAACACTAAAGTAGCACTTGAAGGTAGTGCAATATAGCTATAGCTCRTTTGTAATAGATTTCTTCACATTTTTTCTTACTTCAGAAAACAGGTCCCATCAAAGCCATTTATTTACTATAGGAGAACTATAGGCTTGTCTCTGAAGGATTGCTACAGTATTAAGGAACAAATAACCCCCCCAAAAAAGTATCTCCCTTCTTCACTCAGAAGCCCCTACTTGGTCCTGTTACACACTCTTCTGCAAGGGCAGTGTTGCAGAGCAGCAGGTGCCTGCTCAGATTTAACATACATACATGTAAAACATGTAACATAACAATGGTGTCTTCCTCCCTTCAGTAACGGTGCAAGGGAAGAGAAACCATCAACATCCTATTAAGCTTTCCCCAGCAAATGATTCCTAACCCTGAATTCCTAGTCTTTCCTTAATTTACTTCTCTTCCCTCTATTCATGTATGAATTTAATAGCAGTTCTTTTTGAAAGAAAAAGCAGTCCCTAAAAAGCAGCAAGTTGTAACCACCCCTTGTCCATCAGCAAGGCCAAGGAGCAAAGTTTGCTTTCCCCGGCCCCCTGAAGAAAATTTCTCATGGAAAAAGGCATCGTGCGTAAGAGTGGAGGCTCCTGGTGCTCACAAGCTTAAGGGAGGCTCTAGCCCCAGCTGCCTATGCTCAATGCAGTTGCTCCTAGGTTGGAGTTTTACCTCATTCATGGAGGAGTAACTTACTCGTATATCTGCTATAAGCCAAATGCTGTAATATATTTAATACCTCTGCACGAGAGCGTCACCTCAAGAGAAGGTCTTCAGAYGCAAGGGAGACTTCATACAGTCACAATCTCAACCTCTCACTAGCATTTGTGATGCACTGTAAAAATGGAGTGGTTTTAAGATTGCCAAATAAAAGTACAAAGCTCAACTAACTGTTGCACTATGTTTCATTTATTGTATCACAACAAAAAGTCTTAATTTTCCATTAAGTTTTCCAGTCAGAATGATTTATGYTTGTAAAGCCTTTTTAATTGGAAAAATTATTTTTATTTTATTTTTAGTCCAGTACTGAACTGAATTTTGCACCGTTAGTACACTCAAATTATTTAGCAATGATTTCAAGTTTTTGCTTGTGATTTGAAAGTGAAGAWGTAATAGAAGAAGCCTTTGCATGCTCCAAAAGTGTGCTGACAACATTAGCTTACTCCTAAAACTGTGCATGAAATAAAACTGTAAACAGTTGCCTATTGTAAAGCTGGGAACYGCAAGGTAGCAGTAATGCTTGCAGCCAGAAAGACTCTTCATGGACATGARTCTGCCCTTTGCCTCCCCCTCTCCAGTCACATGGGTGCCTTGTTTTCATTGTTGCCAGAGGAAAGGTTGTCTCTCCTAAAGAAATAATTTAAATAGAATAGAAATAATTTTGAATAGAAATAAATTTGGATCCAGCTAATGCAGACTCTGAAATGATAGATTCTGGACTCTCAATGTTAAATCAAGTGTTTACCTTTTTAAGGGCCTCAGTCTTTGTTTTTGTTTGCCCTTGCTCTGCGCAGTTAATTCCTAAACTCTGGTCTCTCCAGAAATGAGCTCAATGTTCTGTTTTATACTGTAACACATTTCCTGTCCAACAGTCATCAGTAGCCTCAGAGCTGACTTTTGTTTAAATATACTATCACCAGGAGTGTCTTCAAAATAGTAGATAGGTGTTGAATACTGTTACTGTCACATACTAGGCAGTTCTGTGTTGGTATCAGCCTGCTCTGAAAAGGCTTTTAGAGCAGAATTTGGAAATACTGGCACTATGTTACAGRCCAAAGTGTACATTCCTCTAAGCTGAATCTAAATAGCAGTAGAGTCTGCAACAGGTAAGGAGAGCAGATAAAATATCTTGGTTCTTCCAGGATATTGGTCGTCTCTCAGGTAGCGGCACTGCAGAATGCAAACATCTACAGGAGAATTTACAGGTCAGCTTAACACATAATTATTTAAAAGTTAGTAGTACTGTACTACTATTTACAAGACAAATACTTCAGCTAATCCACTGAAGACACCTTCAACAGAACAAGTTTAGAGCATCTACTTTCAGAAATTTTTATAGGCAACTCAGATTAATGGTTCTCTAACATACCCCATGAAATGGGTTTGCTTCAGAAATAGTTACAGTCTTAGAAAGGAACAAAAGTAAAAGATTTAGATTTTCAACAAGAGACAAAATCTCCTATGCATTCCAGTGTTACTGGTAATTCTTACAGATTTCATTTTAAGGATTATTTGCAGCTGAAGTGATGACATGTTAATACCCTGCCAGCTAGCACAATTACCTTCTAACAAAAACCTCTTGGGCCTCGTTATGGCCAAAGCACCACCTCTGGGGAAACATATATGCAGCTAGTTAAGAACACACAGGAATAAAGCTGCCAGAAACAGAGAAATTCAAAAATATTCCATCACAGTGATGAAAAGGCTAAAAACGTTGCATTACTCAAAAAATAACCCCAGCACAATCCATGTCAACAACCCAGCGCTGTGAGCAGTAACTAGGACATATGCATGGAAGATTGGAAGCAGCAGCAAGAGTGAGGCACGACGAGCAGCCACGGACCTACAGGCTCCACTGCTGCAGAGGGCATCTCACTTGTCCTGTTATCTGCTCAACTGCCGACACGAGATTGCAGATAACGGGCCATGCTCTCAATAGTTGACTCATCACCTTTAATTTTCCACTGAATAGCTGGACCCTAGACACGCTGAGAAGTTAAAACTTAGAGAACTTAAATAGCACTTTGTATTTTGAAGACTTGTGAATAGACAGACAAATAAATACGAACAAGGTCACTGTCTCTTCCCCTCACCCCAAGTAACAGTTCCATTTCTTCAGAAGTTCAAGGATAAACTTCAGTGGAAAAAAACAAGACAAAACACAAAAGGTTTTTCTTCCTCATAATCCAACGGCAATCCAAATTCCCAGAAATTTGATATATGTTTTGTTACATGCTTTTCATTTTGGCCATGAGTTCTTCTAGGCTTTCCTCGGACTCTGGCACCATTTCATCAGTTACAGCATTCTGTTCCTATCAGGAAAAGGAGAAAAAAATTAAGAACAGCAGCACAGCCGCACAAGCCCTTCTCTCCACCCTACTGGCTTTACCTCAGTTATGCCCTCTTCTGGGAACCAAGAAGCCAGCTCTACTATCAGGCTCCAGTGACTTAACAGCAAAGACTTAACAAGCGCACGCCCCTTTCTCAGGAGGATTTAGAACATTCTAGCAGCAATACATACAAACTGTGGCCCCTGGACATATTCATTTCACTGTGACTACGTAATCCTTTTAAAAGGCAAGCGTGGTAAAAAATATTAATCACCAAAATAGCAAGTGAGAAAGTCCTGTTTGCTTACAACTAGTACAAAAAATATGAAATAAAATCACTACTGTCATCTCAGAACTATATTCACACTAAATAAAGTTGTTTTTCAGAAGGACAACTGAGATCAGACCATAGAATACTCTCACAGAATGGGCTTAGATACATTTTGATTGGAATTGTTTAAAATGGAATTTTATTGTAGGTTTAAATGGTACTGAAAGTGATAGCTATTATAAATTTGATGTGTAGGATTAAAAAAAGAAAGAGTATTCTAAAAGAATAAATTGTGGAGTACATATTACCTTGTTTGGGATAGTGTATGCTACAGTAATCCCCTCTGGAAGATCTGGTACTGGTCCAGAAGCAGCCTTCAGCTCCTCTTCTGAAGTTTCTGATACTAATTCAATGCCTTGACATTAAAAAGAATTGAGAGGCCAGTTAAAAAAAAAACATGAAATAATTCTTCAATCAATATGTTCAGAGAAAAACTGCAGTCACCTTTCTGAAATAGAGAAAAGTGAATATCTTCTAACTGCTTCATTCCCATTCCCATTATCTACCTTTAGATTATATGAAATATTTCCATATCTCTACCTTACGGGCAAGAATTGCACTTCTATAGGACTTTATTTTCTCACAGGTTGAATCTTACCGTGAGGGCAGCTTTCCCAATGATATGGGAAAATTATTCTATATATAATGTCATAAACGAAATCTGTGTAAGCCTTATAAACATGTCAAAAATGCATAAAAATAATTCAAATTTAAAATGATTATGAACTCAGATGATTATGAACTAGGAGGATGCCTTAGGATAAGTAGTGGTGGAAATAATAAATGCTCTTAAGTCTTAAAAGGAAAACACTAATTGAGACACAAACCCAAGACTTGTTTTGTGTATTAAAGGTACCCACCATGTAATGAATATGCATTTTGACATCTTCCTATCTTCAGATCATCACCTAAGCTTTAAACAGTTAACCCTTCAACCTAAAGTTTGCTCTATATACTAAAAATGCAGCATCAATTTGTGTTAACATTGCTATCCAGCCATCCAGTTGATTACTTACCCCAGTCATTGTCTTCATGTACTACTGCTTCTTCCTGTTCAACTACTACTTCTTTTGATTGCACAGCTTCTTTCTTCTGAAGAAAGAAAAGAAAAACACACACAAAAGGACTAAAAATACATGCAACAGTCTGACTTTCAGTAAGAGCAAGGAAGATCAAATTGAATATTCACATGTATTATAATATTTAGGAGTCACAATTTAGAACTTCCTTAGGCAAAAGAAGGCAAAGTATAAGCAAAAACAAACTTTTAATACTCAAAGACAATAATATATGACTACAAGAAAGGCTAAGCAATTACTGCAGATAAATCTTACCTAACTGCATGCATGTCACTTTGCCTGCCTTTAATGTAACTAAAAAATATTTCTAAGAGTTATGTAATCATGTGAAGATAAAGCCACTGAAAACTGGAATAGCAATGACAGTTTTCTTTTGCGAGAGCTTCACAGCTTGCTCTATTCTCAAGACTTTACTAAATCATAAGACCATTTTTACCTTATAATTTTCTTGCTGTTTTCTGCAATTTTGGTCACTGCACTGTGGGTTTGGCTTCATAGCCATAGTTGGAAAGAAATCTTGCATTGCGTTGTAACCAAGATAGTAACTCACAGTGCCAAAATTCAGCAAATACCTAGAAAAACAAAAATGAGAAAGTAGGTCCTTATACAAGGATACAATCAAGAGAGTTCAATTGCTCAGGCAATCACTTTTTTTTTCCCTCCCCCAAAGGACACCTGAGCGGCACATTCACACCACAGACCAGAAAGTGAAGTACTGGAAGGTTACTGCAATTGTCCTGAAATGAGCTATGGTCACTTGAGTTACTGAAAACACCATAGCTGAATCAAAACAGAATCAGGTATTTCAGGGCTGTTTTGGTGTGAGAACGAGTCAGCTACAGTTTCTGACAAAATATGTTTAAAATAAGGCATAAGTAATTCTCCTACGCCTAAACTCATTCCTACCGGACAGATGCAGATGCCAGCATTATGAAGGCAGTTTTCAATAGCTGAGTAGAACCAGCCTAATTACCCTCTCTCCAGGGTCAGATGTACAACACAAATGCAAGTTAAATTTAAGTGCAACATTTGAAACATTTGTGAAATGAAACATTTGAAGTTAGTCTTCATTAAAGACCAACTGCTGTTGCTATGCAATATCTTAATAAAACGTTAAAAAAAAACTACAAAAAATTTCCTTGCAGAGGGATGCAAGTTCTTTTTTTCTTTTAATGAAATAGTATTTTATATTGCAAGAGAAATTGTTTCTTCTTTGCTCACATACAAAATTTGAAGGGTGAGTTTGCCCTCATTTCTGCCTGGAAGTCAATAATGTCAAATGGAAACTTGTTTAAATAAAGAATTAAGAGGAGAAAGAAAACCACACACACACACGCGCTGCATGTGTACATGCTAAAAAACTCCTAGGAATTAAGACCTTTCCCTACCCCTAAAAAGTTCTATTAAAAATAGCAATGCTGAAATAAAGTCTTCTGCGATTCAAGCTGTAACATTAGACAGGGCTCAATACATACAAATACCTTTGGGAAATAAGCCACAGATACTTAGGAAGAAGCAGACCAATCATTTTGAAAAATCTCCTCAGAGTTCTTCACCCTGCACCGAGCAGCAGCAACTCAGCCACTTACTTCAAAACATTCTGCACAAGAATCCCYGCCACAACACCCATGGTGGTAGGGAGACTGGCTGCACAAACTCCTTCTCGCTTTAACGTCTTCTCATCAATATTTGCAGCAACTACAAGTGGAGGAGCACACTGCGGGAAATAAAGGTTCTGTTTAAAAATGCATTAAATAAAAACACAGATCACACAACCATCGTATTCTAAGCTACTCCCATCAGCTGTGCCAGAATGCGACGCATTCACCAGCCAGTTGATCTTCATACTCCCAGTCCCATTTTAAGATGAAGGGAAAAAAAAAAACCAACAAACAAACCAACCCAAACGGCAATCGTGCTGAGTCGTGCGTACCGCAAAACAGGCGGATTCACCAGGTATGATCAGCTGTATATGTCCTGACACTGCATTTTCACTCACTCCAGATTCCATCCAGATTTGTCCAAGTTCATTGCAGGCCTTAAATAAATAAATAAATAAACCCCAGGAATGTACCTATCAGCAATGCAGGAGTTTAACAGAAAAATAAGTTCTAAGTTAAGACTGATCAAACACAGAACTTTTCTATCTTAAAGCCAGCAGATAAATAGTCACGAAGAATAAAAAAGGCAGAAAACATAAAAGTAAGAATTAATGGACAGATTGTCCTAATGAAGGTAGACCTTTGTGCTTGCATGAAGACCTGTTAACCCAGTGTTCTAAACAGGTACTGGCATTAGAAAGACAAGTAGTGTGATTAGGTGCACAACCATAAGACATTTTTAATAGATAAAACCATGTATAGCTAATTGTACACTTCATATGACTTTTTAAGGAAGATTCAAGATTCTAGACTGAAATTACATTTAAAAAAAAAAAAGATATGGAAATTCGGAGAGTTTACCATAGTCCTTTAGGGACTTAGCTGATAATGCGGAGGAAAAGTCTACAGTTGTACTCACGCACACAGAGTGCTTCACCCAAGAACTAGATAAAAGCTTAGATTAATTTAAAGAAATATGAAGAAGAACTTTCTCAACAGAATTTTGTAAATATTCTGTCTTTTCTCTAGCCCCCTGCAATTCACAACTACTGCAAAGACAAATTATTTACTGCACAAGTTCACTGAGAGTCCAGGCGTGCCCCGGATGGCCTTACCGTGTTAATCGCCATGCGAGCTTCAAAGTTGTCCACGCAACTCAGAACGAGGTCAACGGGCTTCCCTTCCTCTAGGGCACCATTACTGAAAGAAATATTCATTTGCATGAACTAGCCCCATGGCTAGTGGGCCAAAATACCAACACAGCATCAACATGCATCTTGAAATTAGAAAAATACACAGGAAGCCAATTTCTAACAAAACTTGCAACTTTTTTGCACTTGTACAACTAGTATTTCAGTAGTAAAAAGAACTGCCAGGAAGAGCAGCACACTGAAGCCGGGTTCAAATATACAGGTATTTTAGGTTAAGGGAAGGTTTTTACAATATACATCTGCATCTGCTTTCTTTATGAAGCATATTTCAAACTACCAGAGCAGACAAAATGTGATTTGTTGTGCTGCTGTAATTGGAAAAAATGACATGACACTTAGCTTAACAACGTCTGATTGTTGGAAATCTAAAGATGTACTAAAAGAAGTATTACAATTTTATAGCTAAAGTAAATGTTTTCTAGCACAATTTCTTGGGGACCATGAAGAAATGTGTTTTCATATATACATATTTCCCACTGATTTTCAGTTGGAATTTACTAAATTACAAGTTTTCAGTGAAAATGTGAGACCCTATTTAGAACCAAACACCAGAAGTTAGTTAGTGTTCTGCTTTTGTTGTCAGATTTTACCTTATTCTATCCATGAAATGTTGAAAGTTGTCCAGCGTTGTGATGTTGTAGTTATGTACTTCAAACTCAACATCAGGGTTAATATTCCTTATAGAAAAAACAAAATGAGTCAACACTAATAAATATAAGGATAACTTGCACCCTACTTCCTAACTTCACAGATGTTGCGTATCTTGAACTTCCAGTTGCCTCTCAAGCCTAATATGCCCATATAGACAAAAACTGGCAGATGAGAGAAAAAAAAAAAAAAAGGAAGCACAAATGGAGTGGCAAAGCAATTTTACAAGCAATGATCTATACCTCAATAGTACAATTACATTAAGGTTTTTACCAAAACAAAAACGTCATTAAAGTACCAATCACTTCTACTGATGTTTTATACTCAAATATTGAGTATAAATATTGCTGAGTATAAGTATTGGGCTTTATACTCAAATACCTCAAATGGGTATATATTCCACTGACATTTTTATATGCAAATTTCTAATTTAGACTATGCTACTTTAGCAACAAGTATTTCTCTCCTGATCGCTTTCATAACAACATCCCGGATAAATACAGGTGATATCTACTTGGCTATCTACGTACCTCAAAGTATGCTCTGCTGCTTGCACCTTGCTTAACCCAGCTTGATGAGGTTGGAAGAAGAGTCTGTTCATGTTTGCCAGTTCCACTTTGTCATAATCAAACAGAAGCAGCTATGGAAAAGATTATAYCAACATAGGTGATTTCCTGAAGACTCTGCAAACAAAGCACTAAGGTGACCCATTTTATATAGCAAAGCTCATCCTTGTGCGTATGTGTTGGGCAGGAGGGAACTCTGATATACTTTATATCACTTTTAAAAGGCTAAAAATTTAGCAACAGTTAAGAACTTCATGCTAAACTTCCTCTGTTTTCCTATTGCAATAATCCCATATGAYGAATATTGCAAGACAGCTGGACTCCTTTAAGAGCACAGAGAAAAAATTCATCCAAATAAGAGTCATCCATACAACACAGGACCAAACCCTATCAAAATCATTTTTACTAGCATAAAATAGACAACAAGACTGAYGTCTACCCAAGCAGTACTCTTGAGTGCTTTCTTCAAGATACTTTTACCAGGACAAAATCAACTATGGGAAATCTTATCTCCCTCTTTACAGGGAGAACTAGCCCTTCTGCTACGAAGGGGAACAAGTTAAAAGCCATTACCTTACCAATGCCACATCTGGTCAGCATTTCAGCRGTCACGCTGCCAACTCCACCTACACCCACAACCGCAACTGTAAAGGTGCGGATTTTCTGCAGAACGCAATGAAACACAAATCAGCGCATCAAATGTGACCCCAATGAGAGAAAGAGAGAGAGAAAGGTTGTTTTAACGCATATACAATCCTACCTCATAGTCTTTGACTATTCCCATTCTTTTCAGTGCCATGAGACGGCTACAAAGAACAAAAGCGATAGTTTAATCAAGAGGCTCTCTACGTTTCCAAAGGGAATTTTGGTTTATAGGCACCTGGAGTGCCTGTTTTAAAGAGAAGTCAGGCTAGATGCAAACTCCCAGCCCCACAGCAGCTGCACACGGTGCAATGACTCTCCAGGTACCTTCCCAAGAGCAAGGGGGGCCTCGGCCGCAGTCTGGCCGCCGGCCCCGCTCGCTCGGAGCCGCCGCGGCGGCCCGGGCCGCCCAGCGCCATCCCCGGTGCCGGCAGCCGCGGCGCGGTCCCGGGCGGCGGTACCTGTACGGGTTGCAGGGGGTCACCTCGGCGCTCATGCTGCCGATGGGCGCGCGCGAGGCCCGCCCGCCGCGCTCGCGGGCCAGCTCGGCCTCCAGCTCCCGCACGCGCCGCTCCAGCCGCTCCAGCTCCGCCATGGCGGCAACAGCGACACGTCGGCCCGGCGGAGCTTCCTTCCGGGAGCGCCGCCCCGCCGCCTCCCCGGGCGGGCGGAGCGAGGCGGCCGCGGTTGCCGCAGCGACGCGGGGGCGGAGCGGGGCTGCCGCGATGGTGGCGGAGCCGGGCACCACGGAGGTGCGCTCGCGGCACCGCTTCGACCAGGGCCGCCTGGAGCACTACCTGTGCCGCTGGCTGCCCGGCTTCCCGCGGCACTCCGCCGCGCCGCTCGCCCTCCGACAGTACAGGTACGGCCGGGCCGGGCCGGGCCGCGCGAGGGGTGCGCGGCGGCCGCCGTGGGCCGTTGGCGGGCGGCCGTTGGCGGGTGGCCGTTGGTGGGCGGCCGTGGGCCGTTGGCGGGCGGCCGTTGGCGGGTGGCCGTTAGTGGGCGGCCGTGGGCCGTTGGCGGGTGGCCGTTGGTGGGCGGCCGTGGGCGGGCGGCCGTGGGCCATTAGCGGGCGGCCGTTGGTGGGTGGCCGTGCGCTGTTAACGGGCGGCCGTTGGTGGGCGGCTGTTAGCGGGCGGCCGTGGACCGTAAGCGGCCGTTAGCCGGGCGGCCGTTACGCTGAGGGGCAGCCCGGGAGGCGCCGCCGCCGGGGGAGCCGAGCGGGGGGCGCCTTTGGCGAGGGGGGCGAGTTCTTGGTCTCGGTTGGGCTCGCTGGGCCCTGGTTCGCGGCTGGCAGTGCCGCAGAAGGCAAAGTTCGCCCTGACAGAGGGGGTGGCCTTTCCCCTAGGTGGCACCTGGGCCACTTAACGCAAGTCTCGGGTGGACTTTCTTCTGGTGGCAGAAGCCCCTGGGGTGCAGCCTGCCTGGGCACGTGCCTCCATGTTTGTCGCCTTTCACCTACTTATGGATCGTGGCTTATCTGCCTTTCATTGCCCAACGGGTGTCCAGAGTCACCATAGCGGCTTCAGGTGTCAATTAAACAAGGCAGGTACCAATGAGCAGCCTTGTGCTGGGCTGAGGTTCCCCTTAATGCCCTGAGGGCAACGTGTGGCACAAGTGAGGCCCTCGCTCTAGTTCCAAAACCCTGTTTGACAGGAGAAGTTTTTTTTGTAGCTGGCATTTCAGCAAATAGCTGATGTATCCTCAAAGCAGAAGCAATTAGGAAAAAATGGGATTCTGAAAATATATATATTTTAATTTCACAGTAAATATGACCTCAACTGCTTTATCTTAAGCTATCTCTAAGAAACTTTGCTAACCCAATTTTTGATTGTGTTCTGATGCAGTTCTGAAACATCCATCCAAATCCTTAACTTTACCCAATCTTCACAAATACTTTGATCTGAGGAACTTTACGAAGGGCCTCAGGAGAGCACCCAATAGTAAAATCTGCTAACAAGTTGGCAGTATTTATGCTTCTCTTACTTGATTCATCTTGTAGTTGCGCTTTAAGTCTTCAGTTAATCCAACACTTTATTGTGCCTGGTAGAGTGTTGGTCTGCACAGTGCACCTGCTGAACTCTTGTGTTGATTGTCCTCTGCCAGGCACGGGGAAAACAGAAGCCTCCTAGGGAGCATGAGAGCAAAAATTTGCTTGACTTTGTTTTTTTTTCTTTTTTCCCCCCAATAGTTGTCTAATCTTCCATTGGGCTACATCTTAACKATTCTTATAAATAATCCAGAATGGAGAGAGAACCGCATATGGATTAGCTCATTTTCCTCAGCCTTTAGGAAAATGAGGATCTAGGTGTCATGAAGAATTTGTCTAGAATGGTCTTCTCTTTACTTGCATATATGATTGAAAAGTCTAATTTCTGTGATTCTTTGTCACTGTAGCACTTGTTGGAATTGCTTTAGGCAATGCCTTATGTGTGTAAGTAGATGAATAGACTTGGTACTGGAGTTCATCAGTTACTTAGAGAGTTTTCTGTACATTTGCATTGTTGAAATTGCAGCTCACCAAAAGGAAAAAACGCTTATGATCTTATGCAAATTCTGCTCAGTTTGACTTCTTTCACACTAGGTAGTTTAAAGGCTAATACCATCCATTCACTGCAGACCTTCAAAACGATCATAATACCTTTTGCGGGAGGGGAGAGAATGTTATCTTCCTTTCACAAGAGAACAAATTACATCCACAGTGAAAGTAGACACCTTTCTTATATGTGGCAATAGCAGGTCTGACTTTGTAGGCTGTCACTAACATCCTTGTGAGATTTTATTTGAAAGAAAACTCTTGAGAAGAACTCTTTCTTGTGTCTTGCCATTCTGTTCAGGCCAAGTCACAGTGCACTTTTCATTGCTTATATTAAATGCTTGGGGACTTGAATTCATAAGTAATTCAAATCATCTTATTTGTAGCTCAGGCCAGTCAAACCCAACCTTTTATCTCCAGAAGGATGGGCAGTCTTATGTACTCAGGAAGAAGCCTCATGGTCCCCTTTTACCTGGAGCTCACAAGGTAAGTAACTTTCTTTGACAAGCACCAAACACTTTTTATTGCAGGTGTTTAAGTCCTATAAATGATGTTGCGACAGGTTTCAGTGATTATCTGTCTAAAAATGCAATGAATTAATGAGAGCATTTCCAGTTTTCTGTGTGATATGTGAAACAAAGCATTAAAAAGGATGATTTGTCGTGTACTGTGTTTAGCAAAGTAGTGATTTATGTTTGGGAACTTTTTACTGAAGCTAAATTTCTATATTTTCTTCAGATTGACAGAGAATATCATGTGCAGAAAGCCTTATTCTCAGCTGGATTTCCAGTCCCTGAGCCCCTGATGTACTGCAGTGATGTTTCTGTCATTGGAACAGAGTTTTATGTAATGAAGCATGTGCAGGTTGGTCAACCAATATGAAAGCATTTTTTTYCATTGCTATAAGCTGCTTTTAAATTATCTTAACTTCTCTGATGATAAGTATGTTCATAAGTTTGGGGAGTTTARTATGTATATCAGTATATCCTGAGGACACAAAGAGAAATAATTTCCTGATATTTTCAGAAAGTGCTACTTATCAGAAAGTTCTTAAATAGCTATTTATGTTATTTAAGCTTCAGCTTTTGCAAAGTGTCCTTCTCTTTGTGTTGAAGTATTCAGCTCAGCATTTAACCTTTTTACATTTTGAGCTGCCAGGAGGATTTCTTGAAAGGAGTTGAAATAATGTGTGAAAATCATAGGCATAAGTTAAGGGAGGTCAGGTGAGGCTGTAAAGTTATGCTGAATCCAATCCCCGCACCTTTTTAACACTGAAGATAGTAATCTACATAAAATCACATTTTCTTGAAAACTAATTTTAAAGAACTGAGATTTTGCTTGCTAGTCATATCTCAGCCTGCAACCTTTCTTGCTAAATATCAACAATTTGATTGTTTTAAAACTTAAAAAGTTACCAGGATATTGAGGAACATTTTTTTTAAGCCGATGAAAATGAGTAGAAAACCACACTAGAAAAGGAAAGTTTGTAATGCAGTAGGATCTTTGTTCTATAGTGGGATTTCTCAGTGAAGATTGGGGGAGCATCGTTCTCAGCTTTGTTGTCTTGTTTCTGTGTCTGCAGCACTGGGTTTGTAGCACTCACCCTCAAAACCTGTGGTGGGGTAGAGGAACCCAGGCCCTTTGTGAGAGCCAGTGACACTCGGCATCCAGAAGCTTGGCCACTTCTGTGTTTAATCATTGTGTGACAGCAGCTGTCAAGGGGAAAAAAAGTTATTTTTCTTAGCTATTAATGGGAAAGGCCAGAAGGCCAGTCTCCCTCATTCCATATTGATCAATTCCTCAGGGCTCAGCTTTCAGTGGACATCCTGGGCATAAAGGATTTGGGATTCCTGTGAAGCTCTTCACCTGTACTGGGCAAGAAAGATAGTAAATAGAGATCTTTGACTGCACTGGGGGCATTAGTTCACTGYATTGCTTCTGATATGCATAGCTTTCCTTCTCTCCTCCTGATGTGTATATCTTACCAAATACTTGATTTTATGATGCTTCTAGGGTCGCATCTTCCGAGACATCTCAATACCTGAAGTGGGCCCAGCAGAGCGTTCTGCTCTGTACATTGCAATGATAGAAACACTGGCCCTGCTGCACTCCCTGGACTTGAAGTCTTTGGGTCTCCAAGGATTTGGCAGAGGACCAGGATATTGCAGAAGACAGGTAGAGATCTTCAAATATGATTGTTTTGTCAAGTCTTTGAAAGTTTATTGAATTGCAAGCTAAAATATTAATGTCCCTTAAAAGTGACCATCATATTTAAGCTATTAAACAGCTTTGCTTTATTCAGTTATTTGTACAATTGCAAAATTATTGCTACATTCAAATTGCTTGTAATCTGCAAGTGGTGAATGTTATTCATTCATTTAGGTATAACACTGGATTTGGCTACGTAAGTAAGATTGGAATAAGAAATGGAGGAAGTCTTCATTGAGTCTTTTAATCACACAGTGCAAAGTGCGAAGTGACTGGGTTTTATTGAATTCACAAGTAACATAGTCAAAGCCCAGAAGTACTGGCTTCATAATTTTGTGCTTTTGAAAAACTTGTCAGTCAGTTTGAAAAAACTGTTTGAGTGTTTTATGTTTCTAGGTGTCAACTTGGAAAAAACAGTACGATGCTGCAGCTCATACGGATATTCCTGCCATGAACCAACTGGCTGAGTGGTTAGCAAACAACTTGCCCCCTGATGACAATGAGGAAACGCTGATTCATGGGGATTTTAGAATAGATAACATCATCTTCCACCCAACAGAGGTTCTGATACTTGTTTATACATGTCTAATACTACAGTAAGGTCCTTTTTTTGCTTGCAGCCCTACCAGTTAATAGGATGTTTACCTGATGCTTTAGTACGTGTTTTGTTCTATGTCTGTGTAAGGCCTGCTTAGAATATGTGCAGCATGAGTACTGATTCATCAAAGTTGCTTGACTCTCTTGGCAAATCATAATGCAAATAATATTTCTGTCCTTTGTATCCTGATGTTATACAACTTTAGAAAGTAAAAGTAGAGAACTTAACCTCTTCCATATGTTCTGGGCAAGGA